GGCTGAGGCGCTCCAGCGCCGGTGGCGGGACCGGGACGCGACCCGAACCCCGCGACCGGAGACGCCGGGCCGCTGGCACCACAGACCCGGGCCACTCGCGCCGCCTCAGGTCGCCGGGACCCTTGAAAGGCGCAGGGACCGAGCGCTGAGCACACCCCAGCCCCTCTGTAGGGAGCCAGCAGTGGTTCTGGCCCAGCCTGTGGTTGGAAACACTTCTGAGCTGCTGTGATAGCAGCTTCCAGGCGCCTGGCGCCCTGCCGACGCTCAGTTCCTGTAAGAGGGGTCCGTGCTTGCACCCACTTTGCAGATCAGGACCCGAGCTCAGCTTGACATCTGGGGGCCCAGCCTCGGGCATGTGTGGGGGTGGCTTTTGAACCAGCTCCTGCTGAGCTGTGAGCCGTGTTTAGTGTCACCTCTTCCTCCCTTATAATGTCACTGCCCTTATCAGGGACATCAGCCTTGCAGAACTGGGTCCTTCACTTGTGCACTGAGCAGCTGTTGAGCAAAAGCTGGAGGACCTGGTGCAGGAAGACTGCGAGACAGCAGGCTAGGAGGAAAGGCCTCTGGTGGGAGGTGTAGATAGGATTTGGGGTTTCATGGGGTGGAGGCATGGGATGCGGGGAGCTAGTTTTGAAGGATATTGGGTGTTGACTCAGTTGGAGGGAAGATATTCAAGGTTATTGATACGAAGGTTTTAGGGGGTGCAATAAGAATATTCTGGAACTAGTGATGGTTGCATTGCTTTCCAAACATGTGACAAGGGGCTGGATTGATGAGAGCAGTGTGGGGTTATTCTGAGTGGCAGCAACAGTAAGGTAAACGGGAAAGGTGACCTGGAAGGAGAAGAGAGGAGGAGAAATCAGGCCAAGCCCTGCGGCCTGCATTTACCGGCCGCAGTGACGGCGTGTGCCTGAGTGTTGTGAGGGGAGGACCAGAGCCCTTCAGAGGGCATAGGAGGTGTTTGCCCGTCTGGGGCACAGGGTTTGTGAGACTCCGGCCGCAGCCCACACGGAGGTGCTGCGCCCAGCTGAGCATCCTGTCCAGATTCGCACCAGGAGCCCTCTGCACCAGCCATGGGCCTGTGCAGGCTATGGCCCTGCCCAGCCTCGATGCCAGCAGCTGTGTTCAGGGGCTCTGGGTGGACAAAGCACGCCCCTTTCTTGGAGGGTGCTTGACAGCTGGGTGACTGTCAGTGAGGGTCCTGGCCCACCAGCCCCCAAACTTTTCCTGTCCCAAGTCCCCTGACCCCAACTTGGGGCACCCAACTTGGGGCACCCCGTGTGCACGCCACCCCACCATCCTGTGGGCCTTGGTGCGGTCAAAGGCCTCCAGATGAGCCCCTGGGCTAGGAGTCCTGTGGCCCTGATCTCTGCTCTCTGAGCCCTGGCCTGAGGCCGAGCTGTGTCAGCTGGTCACTTGCAGGCTGTCCGGCCTGTCAGCCATTTAGGGCAGGCCTTCGGCTTTCTGGGAGCGCTGCGGCCAGCTGCTGCAGCGGCAGAGCTCGGCGCCCCCTGAATACTTAGTTCCCAGCACGGCTGACCTGCAGCGGGCATCTGGGTGCTGAGTGGGTGATGCCGCGCACAGTGCCCGCTGGTCCTGAGGGGGAGGCAGCTGTTGCGCCCCCAGGCTGCCTTCTGGTTGCTTCATCTGTGCTTAGCTCCAAGGGCCGTACCACCCAGGACCATCCTGGGAGGACAACCTCGGGCTCGCAGACAGAAGACAGCCTCGGAGAGGCTGCGCGCTTGAGGGCCCTGCAGCCAGAAGCCGCTGTCAGCCAGCACTCCTTCACCCTCCTCCAGCCTGGAGGGGAGCGAGCTGGCCTGCGCGGCCCCTCCGCCAAGGCCTCAGCGGTGTCCCGGAAACAAGCGTGGGGAGAAGCTGTTGGTCCCATTAGTGTCTAGAGTGCTGTGCCAAGGCGCAGGTCACTGCGGAGGCCCGGCACCGGCCTGGGATGGCGAGAGGTGGCCACGGCTCACAGGTGAGGGGCGGAGGCCCCGGAGACTGCGGGTGTGTCCAGGGCTGCGGCCCCACGGGCACCCCGAGCAGTCCATGCGTAACCACCTACTCAGGAGTTGCCTTCTTCGGCCCCTGGGCTGGCTGGGGAGCTTTGCTGGCAGCAGCCTCTCCCAGCATGGAGCCATGGACAGCCGGCACCTTGGGGCCGCCACAGCACCTGGCTTTGAAGCCTGCGGGGGTGGCTGGGGGTTTGTCCCGGTTCTAGTGTTGCTGGCCACGTTGCATGCGGCGGGACGGGATGGAGAGAGGCAAGTAGACGTGGCGCCTCGTGCACACCTGAGGGCCGGGCCAGGCACACGGCGTCCAGCCGCCGGCCCGCCCACTCGGGGTCCTCCAGAGTGGCCATTCGCACATTGCACCGGGGGCAGAGAGTGAACTCGCCAGACCGGGGTGTGGGCTCTGCTGTGGGAGCCCTGGGGAGGGGAGCGGGGCCTCTCCCTGCTCAGGCAGCCGCAGTGCCCTGGTTTCTCTTGCCAGGGCCGGGCAGCGTGGCCTGCCAGCCTACCTGCCCTCGATCACGGGAGCGTCTTTGCAGAGCTTGGCTTCTGGTGTGAAGCGCGGCGCCTGTGAAGCCTCAACCTGCTTGTGAAAGCCGACCACTTCCTTTTGTTAGTTCCCCGTAATGGCCGAGTCACGTCCTGCCTTAGGGGCCAAGCAGGGCCACTCTGGCTCCTGGCTCCCTGGAAGCTGAGGCCAGTGGGTCGGCTTGCGTTTCCCGCCCCTCTGGCAAGCTGCTGTGTCCTCGGACTGCCTGCCCGGCCCCTCTGAGCTCAGTGGCCGAGGGCTGTCGGGGATAGTCAGCTCGGCTCGGCAGCGCTCGTCGACCCTGGGAGCTCCGACCACAGAAACACAGAGCAGGGACCCGCGGAGGAGGCACAGCAGCCCGCTGACCTGCCGGAGCGTCTCCGAGGGGCCTCGGGCCCCACCTTTGTGCATGGGTGCCACGGCAGCCTCAGAGCACCCCGTGCCCTCGCCCGGACGAGTCCCCGGCTCGGTGCCCTCTGGACTGTGCTCCGGTTGGCTCCCAGCCCCTCCGCCTAGAAGTGCTTCCCTCACAGCTCTGCCTGCCCTCAGACCCCAGCATCTCCGGGATTGCCCTCTGTGGCCAGGCCACTCTGCACCCTGCCCACGTCTTGGTGAGCGCCCCTGCGTGCTCCTGCGGCGCGTGGGGCCACGGGGTCTCAGGGTGGAGACCCACCGCCCTGCACAGCCGTGGGGGTCCTGCGACAGGCTGGGTCTGCGCCGGGGTGTCTGCCGGAGCTCCGGAAGCCAGGCGCTGGGTCTGGCGCCAGCACTGGTACAGAACCCAGCGGCCTCGGTGCCAGGCGGCCGCTCTGCCTGGGCTCCGCCTGCCTCTGAAGGCCCTCAGCGCCCCCCAGCCTGCTGTCCACGTGGACCGAAGCACCCAGAACTTTTCTCCCGGGCACTTGCAGGAAGTGGCCTGACTGCTGACCACAGGAACCTTGCGCCCGCAGCCACTTCCAGGGTCCGGTCTCAGGGTCCGAGCAGGCAGCCCGCTAACCAGGTGCCCGCTTCTGCCCGCAGGCCAAGTATCTGGCCCAGATCATCGTGATGGGGGTGCAGGTGGTGGGCAGAGCCTTTGCCCGGGCCCTTCAGCAGGAGTTTGCAGGTGAGCTCAGGCCCTGCCCCCGCCCCCCAGGACAGACTTGCCCGCCGCTCTGGGCCCTTGGCTGCTGGGTCCCTCCATGGGCTGCGCTGCTGGCTCCGCCTGGGAGCAATCGGGTGTCGCGCCCTTCCACGAAAGGGAGATTTGGGCAAGGGGAGCGTCCAGGCGGGAGTTGGCAAGCTGGCCTGCGTGACACCTGCTTGTATAAATAAAGCTTTATTGGCACACAGCCGCACCTGGCTGCTTTCCAGGCAGAGGAACTGGCCTGCAAGTCTCCAGTATCTACTCTGGTCCTTAAAGAAAAAGGCTGACTCCTGGTCTTCAGTCACTGACAAGGCCTGGTGGGTGGCCCAGGGGCTGGTGGGCAGGAAGTGCGGAATAGATCTGTGCCTCCCGCCAGCGGCCGCCCGCTCCACGCAGTCCCCACAGTGGCCTGAAGGGCCCAGCTCGCTGTGTGCCGGGACGAGGGGAGCAGGGTCATGGCTCCAGAGGACACCTGCCTGCCACCTGTCCGCCAAAACCACCACCCTTGCAGAGATGCTCTGTCCCTGCGGCCACCGCAGGCTGAGCACACACTCGTGTGCCCACACAGCCAGCCGAGCGGCAGCTGACGCCCGAGGACGTGCCGGACACCAGTCTGCCGCTGCCTCCAACCTCTCTGGCCTCAGCCTCCAGGAGGCCCAGCAGATTCTCAACGTCTCCAGGCTGAGCCCCGAAGAGATCCAGAAGGTGGGGCGTTGGGCTGCTCCCCGAGAGTACCGACCTGGTCACCGGCGGGGGGGCAGCGGGGTGCAGGGGCCTGGGCGCAGCCAGGCTGGGCTCCCGCTTGCAGGCCCAGGGCAGGTGTGGCAGAGAGCAGCAGTGGGGTGGCAGCTGAGCCCTCCCGTGGGCCCTGCCCACCCCTCTGCCCGCGTGCTTGGGGTCACTTTGGTGTCACCGGGTGGGCGCGGAGGGCTGAGCCTTTCCACTTCCCCCATCACCTCTGCGCCAGAAGCTGCATGCCTCTCCTGTCTCCCTTGCAGAACTATGAACACCTATTTAAGGTGAACGACAAGGCCGTGGGCGGCTCCTTCTACCTGCAGTCAAAGGTGCGTGGTCTTTGTGGGCAGAGCCCATGTGGGGCTGTTCTCACGATCCCTGGTGTGAGGGCCTCTTCATGCACCCCAACTTCAGGGAGGTCCTAGCCAGCCCCTGGACAGTGGTCCCCCGGGAGCTCCACCAGGAGACTAGAGCCTGCTACCCTAGCTGGGGGCAGCTCCCCGGCTCGCGCTGGCACCTCGGCGCTGTCCAGGGACTTGAGGCTGGACCAGGTCCCACTAACGTTACCCCACTCCTCCAGGTGGTGCGAGCCAAGGAGCGCCTAGATGAGGAGCTTCGCATCCAGGCGCAGGAGAACAGAGAGAAGGACCCCAAGACGTGACCTTGGGGTTCCTCCGCTCACCCATCCCTCTAATTTATAGCTTGGTAATAAACGCCTTTTCCACATTCTTGAGTCTGCAAGTCCAGATGGCAGCAGGCAGGCCGCTCCTGCTGGCCAGGGGCAGTGCGTGCCCAGGCGGCCAGTGGCAGACACCCTTTCCCGAGCACGGAATCATCTCACGTCTGAGCCGTGCCCGGGTGTGGAGCACGGCCAAGCAGGTGGGTCCCCCCATGGCCCAGCCATTGGCCAGTTGCAGCAGGGGGCAGCGGGACAGGGCCTGACCCGCAGCATGGTCACGGGCGTCTGCCTGCTGCAGGCACTGGCAGCCCTGGGAGTGTGACCCCCAGCCCGGCCTGGCCTTGGGGGGAGCCCAGCGCCTCCAGACAGAGCCATCTTTGCGATTCGCTTTTATTGTTTCTTTATAAACTTCCTCTCACACGGAGGAGTATTTTGTTATAGTCATTAGCTTATCTCTTTTGTTAAACTCTATGCTAACAGCAACGGAGCCAGAGGAGGGAAACAAGCTACGATAAAGGCACTTGAACCTGTAGAATACTGACGCTGGCACGCACTGCGGCAGCCCAGGCCGCGAGCAGGCGCCCGCGTGCCGAGCCTCCACGCGGCCCGGGCCCTGTCCCCTGCTCCCTCGGCTTGGGCGCAGACCCTGGTCCCAGTCTGGGGACGCACGGCCGTGACCCTCAACAGGGGGGGGGGGCACCTGGGGGGACCGAAAAAAGGAGGCCAGCTCCCTCCTGCTTTGCTTACAGCCCCCTCGAGGGGCAGAGCCAGCACTGCCAGGCCCGGAGTGGGGGAGTCAGTGTGACCCCTCTGGGACAGAAGGGCAGTCGGGGGTCTTGGGGGGGACAGCAAGGGAGCCCTGGAGGTGCTGGCTGCCGGGGCCCTGGGCCCAGCAGCTCCCCATGGTCAGGCCAGGCTGGGGAGGGAAGCCTGTGTCCCTGGGTGGGGCCAAGGACCATGGCACCGGGTGCAGGTGAGGAGTAACGGGGACACCTGGCGGAGGGACACCATGGGAGCCAGCTTGCTGGGGCTCACCCTGTCCGGCAGGCTGGGCCCTTGGCCATCATGGAGCCCTGCCCAGCCTACAGGCCAGGACCCAGTACCCAGGATGGGAGCTACAGCCTCCCCTGCAGGGCTCCCCCACACGGTGGAGGGCGGTGAGAATGGCCAGCCGGGCCCTACTGCGGAGCAGCCCTGTGGAGCAGCAGCCTGGGGGTGCCGGGACAGGGCCACAGAGCGGGCCTCCGGGGGGAGGCGCCTTGTCATCGTGGTAGCTGCTTCCTGCGGCTTTGCCAGGGCCTGCGTCTGTCTTGCTCTCCCTGTGGGGGGTGGGCCAGAGGGAAAGGGGTCCAGAGAGACCCCAGGGCAGAGGTCGGGGAAGCTAGGCAGGAACAGGTGGGGGGGAGGGGGGACTTGATCTGGGGGCTCCTTATCATAGCTCACTACATGAAGGGGGTACAAGGTCCCGAGCCAGTAGGGGTGGCAGCCCCCACCCACCCAGCCCACTGCTGGGGTGCGGGGTAAGTGGGCGGGGCCCCAGGGGGGCGGCCAGGGCGGGCCTCAGCAGCAGGCGCACAGCTCCCCCTGCCGGGGGGCCAGTTCCGCCCTGGAAGCCGGGTGTGCCGGCAGTGACCTAGCACCATCCTTGCTGCCCACTCGTCTGGGGCTGGGTGGGCCCTGGGGACAGGAGGACATTATTGCTATTCGCAGAGGAGTTTCTGGTCGTCAGGGGCCGGGCGGGAGCTGCGGTGGGTGGGGGGTGGCTGTCCACCAGGGGCTCAGTTCACCACTGCCGGTTTGAGCAGCACGGAGCCAGGAGGGATGACCACCCAGCCTGGGGCCAGTGCCTCCGGGCTGCTGGCCGCCGAGTTGACCCCCGTGGACAGGTCCAGCACAGTGCCCGGCAGCAGGGGCAGTCCGTCGGGGCTCGGCCGGGAGCGAGCGCTCTCAGTCCTCTCCAGGGGTGTCTTGCGGCCCTCCGCGCCCAGGGCCCTGGCTGGCACGGCCCCGCGCTTCTCCCCCTCGGCCTTGCCGCCAGCGGAGCCAGCGAGGAGGGAGACCACGGGCAGGCCCAGTCCACCAGCCCCAAAGGGCGAGGGCAGCAGTGGGTTCTTGGCCAGGTTGAGGGGC